TAACCCTGAGCCTAAGCCACAGACCCCCTCCTCCCCAGGTGTTTCCTAAATGCCCTCCGTCTACTCGACCGTCTTTCAGAACGTTATCCGCTCCGGATTTTCAAAGTCCTTCACCCACGGCTACGCCCAGTCATTCGTAGCTGCCACCCATCACAATGTTCTAAACCCTCAGAACAGGCCATCCTTTGCTCGGCGTAGCAGCACGAGATTGGGTGGCCGCCTCTCCACCCTCGGTCTTCAGGATGCCTTCCGCACCAGCAGCAACCTGAACGCGGGCGGTTCCGTCGAGCCTCGCCATGACAACAAGACGACGGTCCTCCCCAGTAATGCCGGTCTTCTGGATGCCTACTATGAGCACCTGCAAAAGTCGCAGGCTGCCCAGGAGGCTGGAGAAGAACACGATCAGGAATGGGTTCAGTTCCAGTTCCCGAAGCTGATCGAGTGGAAGCCTACCGCCACTTCCATCCTCGCCCAGGGAGACGCAAATACACTCGCTTTGGCTGCTGATGGGGTTGCCAAACTTGATGATGGCGTCTCCCGCGTTCCGCCAGAGGCTGAGGCCGCCCTCGCTCACATCAACGCTAGAATCGAGGAGGAGATCGAGGTTCGGAAGCAGCTAGAGGCTGTCGAGGAGGAGCTCGAGTCCCTTCGGGCCACATCGCCCGCCCTTGCCGAAAAGCTGGAGGAAGAGATTCGATCCCGATCACGCACTCCGTCCATCCACCTGCGCACCCCTGCCAGCGTTGCTCGGATTGCTACTCCTCCTCTTGACGCTCAGTCTATCAGCTACGCCGTCCACCTTACCAAACTCTCCGAGGCTGCCCGTTATGCCGAGATTCCCGCCGTGTTCGAGGGCATGCTGCTTGCTAACATCCAGCCTACTGCAACCGCCTACAATGCCCTTCTCATGGCCGCTATCCACCTCCCCTCGGAGAAATCCGAGATTGTCTCCAAGGCCCTGGACGTCTACGCTGATATGCTTAAGCGCAAGGTGTCTCCTGACAGTGATACCTACAACATCCTCGTCGGTTTGCTTGCCTCTCGTTCGCTCGAGGTCTTTGCTTCCAAGAGCCTTCTTCAGGATAAGCGTCTCCGCTTCGGTGGCATGGACGAGCCTGGCAAGTTCATGTTTGCCTCGCACGAGCTCGAGTATGCTATTCTTTGCGAGGATGATCGTCTGGACTTGGCCTTGAAGCTTTTCCAGTCTTCTGTCAAGTCTGACAAGGCCGTCTACTCCTCTGAGACCTACCACCAGCTTATCTCTGCTTGTGCTCAGTCTGGACGAGTCTCGGATATGCTTCACCTCTTTGAGCATCTGGAGGCGAACCGGGTGACTCCGTTCGCTGCCACCTTCCCTGCTATGATCACGGCATTCGCCAACGCGGGTGATTTAATCAGTGCCGTCGAGTGCTACAACGAGTACCGCAACCTCGCCATTGCCAACGACAACGGCGAGCCCACTCTTCAGGATCGCCTCGACACTCAGGTCTACGCTGCAGTGATCAATGCTTACGTCGTCTCCGACAAGCTTGAGGGTGCCATGAAGTTCTACAAGAAGATTGTCGAGGAGTACGAAGCCAGCGCTGCGGATATCAAGGACGCCATAATCAGCGGTGGTTTTGTCAAGGGATTCCTCGACCGCGGTATCTATGAGGAAGCACTCCGCTGGGCTCAAAGCGTGGAACAGGATGCCAGGGGCCGTGTCATGGGCCAGGTCGCCACTGCCGCTGCCGATTATGGATATAAGAACGTTGCCATCACTGCCTTCTCCAACATTGCCTCTCACGACGAGGCCGCCAATTCCGCCATTGCTTTGCTTGCCATGAGCGTGCGCCAAGCTGATGTTGCCAGTGCTGCCAGATACTGGGCCGCTCTTAGCCATCCCGAGGTCAAGGCCACTTCGTCTTTCATTGAGCCCACCGCCATGTTTGCTATCGCTCTCATTGGCTCCGGCCAGGTTGTCGAAGGCTTGACTGAAGCTGAGCACATGTTCCACCGCATTCGCGCGAGTGCTACCACCGAGACCAAGCCGCAAGTGACTGATGAGATCGAGGAGGCTGCCGAATTCATTCACGGATTCATGGCCGCCCGTGGTGTCACTGACCCCCGTTTGCTTCCCTCGCCTGCTTCGTACGCTCCTCAGTCTTTCCCCGCTTCCCCGCACCCGGCTACCCCGACTGCGTCTGCTTTCGAGGATACCTTCGACCCCTATGCCCACAGCACCGACTTCAAGGGTTCCGCGCTCATCTCTGAGGACCTTGAAAGCAATGGTCGCAAGGGCCCCAAGTTGAATGATGCTCTCACTCGCTTCCGGAACATGCGCCGCGTTGGTCGCCATCCTCGCTACGTCACCTATGCCAAGCTTATCTCCGCCGCTGCCCGTGACGGCAACATGGATCTTTGTTTCGATATCCTCGCCATGGCCCGCACTGACGTCCCGCTTCTCCCTCAGTATGCTGTCGTTCGTTACGGTTGGTCTTCGATTCTGGATGCCATGGTTGGTGCCTGCCTCACCTTGGGTGACAGGGTCGGGGCCGAGCAGTACCACCAAGAGCTGCTCGCCATGGGCTCTACTCCCTCTGCCAACACCTTTGGTCTCTACATCACTACCCTGAAAGAGTCCACCAAGACTTTCGATGAGGCTTCTGAAGCTGTCAAGATCTTCCACAGGGCCAAGATTGAGGGTGTCGAGCCTAGCTCATTCCTCTACAATGCGCTTATCGGCAAGCTCGGCAAGGCTCGTCGCATCGATGACTGCCTCTTCTACTTTAACGAGATGCGCAAGATGGGTATCAAGCCTACCTCGGTCACCTACGGAACCATTGTCAACGCTCTCTGCCGCGTCAGCGACGAGAAGTTTGCCGAGGAGCTTTTCGACGAGATGGAGGCCATGCCCAACTACAAGGCCCGCCCCGCCCCTTACAACAGCATGATGCAGTTCTTCCTGACCACCAAACGCGACAAGACCAAGGTCCTCGAGTACTTCGAGCGCATGAAGGCCAAAGGCATCTCCCCCACCTCGCACACCTTCAAGCTCCTCATCGACACCCACGCCACCCTCGACCCCGTTGACATGACCGCCGCTGAATCCGTCCTCGACATGATCCGCGCCTCTGGCCAGCATCCCGAGCCCGTTCACTACGCTTCCCTCATCCACGCCCGCGGCTGCGTCCTACACGACATGGAAGGCGCCCGCAAGGTGTTTGACTCGGTCATCAACGACGTCTCCATCGCTCCATCCCCTTGTCTCTTCCAGGCTCTATTCGAGGCCATGGTCGCCAACCACCACATCACCGGCACAGAGCCCATGCTCGCCGAGATGCGCGCTAGGCGCATCGAGATGACTCCGTACATTGCCAATACCCTCATCCACGGGTGGGCCGCTGACAAGAACATCGCTAAGGCTAAGGAGATTTATGCGGCCGTTGGTCGCGAGAAGAGGGAGCCTAGCACTTACGAGGCCATGACTCGCGCGTTCCTTGCTGTTGAGGAGCGTGAGAGTGCCAAGGGTGTCGTGAGCGAGATGCTCGGTCGGGGGTACCCCAGTGCTGTTGTTAACAAGGTGCTGGAGTTGCTTGGTGGCGGCAATGCTGAGGAGGCTTCTGCGTGAAGCAGGTAGTCCCTCCCGCATCCTCTTTTTCTCTTGCCGTGTTTTCTTTTTCTTATCTCATTGATCACGGCCTCCTCTTTTTTTTTTTGGGTTGGGAATGACTTTTATGATACCCCCTTAACGCTGCAAGGAAGTTTGCATCATGACATTCCTGGTGATTATGTTACGGTTTCCTGTTTTTCTTGGCTTCAAAAGGGGGTATTATTGCAAAGAGGTCATTTGGGTTTAGGATGACGGATAGAAGGAAAAGAAAGAAAGGGGAGGCTACGATCATAATTTTGTTTTTCTCGAGTCTTTCAAAAAGTTATTTCCTGGGCTGAATCGGGTCCGGCCTGGGATTTTGGTCGTCATATATCAGCGGGCGGCGTTCCGGTATCTTACATTTGGGATGGGTGGTTTCGATTCTTGAGCCGGGGGCCCCGCCAGCCGACATTGAGTGCGGTTATGGTTGTGTGGCTCGGTTGATGGATGAACGGGTTTGAATTAGAAAGATTGGTCTTGCCTGTCTTTTGCTTTGGGTTTCTGTGGTTGGGTTAGATACCATTCTGGGTGGACGTCGATATGTACCATTCATCATCGAAGGGAGGAAGGGGAAAAGAGAGAGAAGGCATGGTATGGAAGCATGTATACCACAACCATTACGGCAAGGCCAAACCATATAGACGTTTCGAGGAAACGACTCCCCACTCTGCATATCACATTTAGAAGCAGAAAAACAATTGAAATGGTACAACATCCTCAAGCAAGGCATTTATTTACCTGTGGTTCAATGATGGCTGAAGAAAACGCGTGTGGAGAAAGTTCAGCTCGTCCACAATGTTGGTTTATTCCCTGCCTCCACCATGGCAGCCCATGTAGAACTAATCCCAACGCAGCTCAAACGTCATAACCACGCATTGAGGATGCATAACGATCAGCGAACAAAACGCAAATCAAGCAAGTAATGAATTGTTGAATTCACTTGATTCAAAGAATAGCCCACACGAAGGCAGAGAGTATCTTGAAGGAAGGCACGGGGGCGTCAAGTCCGCTTGATCTGAGGTTTGGACAATGGGGCCTCGAGGGGTGAGAACTTGGAGGCACTTGTCTCACGAGGACACAAAGGAGATTAGGGGGAGCAGACAAAATAGAACAGGCACTTTTTGCCTAGCAAAACAAAGAAACAAAGAATAGAATAGGAAGTGGGTGGCGGTGGTAGGAAGAGATGAATGAGCTTGCATATGAAGCCCAACGGGAAGGGTGAGGGTAAAAAAGAGAAATAAAATAAAAGAATAAGAATAGAAAAAGGAATAGAGAGAAAGAGAGAAAGAAAAGGAGAAATACATCTAGGGAAAAGAAACGAAGAGCCAACCAAATTGAGTAATCCAGTAGAATACCCAACATGAACCATTCAAGGCCAAGCCACTTGGCTTGGGTTCGAACTATTGGATGTCCGGGTAATCTTGACATTGACTACTGCGTACTGACCTGTCAATGCTGTTGCTGCTGCTGCTGGTGGCGGCGGCGGCAATTTGGGAGTATCCAGCCTGTCGGTACAGCGGCGTCATAGATTTGGATTCGTAGAGGTAGTAACCTAGAGATGATGGGGTGTGTTGACCTGTCAGTACCTCTGAATGAGTGCAGCTTCTGGAACAGAGATGGTAAATGAAGTGAGACGAAGGAGAAGACGAGGGAGGGAGGGGAGAGAGGGAAGAAGAAGGAGGAGAAAGGATGACTTACATCCTCGCGGAGGAGTTGTTGCCAAGGTTTTCCATCGACCTGTTGCTTAGCAGCTTATCAGTGGCCCATTGGATACAAGGCTTGGCTTACCTGTGATCGCTTTCGTACTTGGGGCCAGTGGGTGGTAGGTATTCTGGTGGTTAGCTTGCTAAAGGGGAGGAGAGAGCCTTACCTCCAAATCTACTGGGTGATAGGAAAAGAAGGGTGCGAATTGTAAATAGTCAAGTGTGTATTCTAGTGGTTAGTTTACTACGCAAAGTTGGGGGCCTTACCTTGAGGTGAACTGTCACTAGTTCATTTCAGTCTAGAAAGGATTAAGCGTTTCTATTATGGGGGGTTTAGACTTACTGATGAATCCATGACACGGTCTGTTCGACCTATAAGAGCTAATCGTTAGCTTTGAAATGTAAGGAACATACCGTAGGCTAGTACTGTTGAGTGTCTTCGTCATAGAAATAGTAGTCAGTTTGTCAACGTGGTGAGAGAATAACTCATCTGTAAGACAACTTCTTAGTGGCTCAACTTCGATCGGGCTCTGTCAAGTGCTCTGTCAACTTTTCATGGAGAGGGGAGGTGGACTTGGCCATGAAGTATTGTATTTGTATTAGCATAGGCCTTTGCTAGCTCCTGTTCTCCCAATCGTTACTTTTGCATCATTCTAGAAAGGGGAACTGACTCACCTTGTTGCTCTAACGGAGTGACTTTCAAGTGATTAGGTAGACCTAAGGAAGAAGAGTAAGTTTATGACAATGAAAGAAAGCTTACCTGGAAATCGGACATCCAATGGCATCTTGGCCAATATAGGATGGGAATGATGTCAGATCGGGGATCGAAGTCGGGGTCGGGTCATGGAGGGCGAAGTCGCTTTCGCTCTATGGCAGTTAGTAAACTTTAACAGGGAGATTGACTTACCTCTGACAAGGGGGCGGGTACACTTGCAAAAAAAGGAGGGAACACCCGAGATTCGGTCTGTGGACAGGGACCTGGCATCGGACTCGTTCTACAAAGTTGTCAGCCTTCAAAGAGAGGGGTATTTGACTCACCTGAGAAATGATTATCCGTCTACTACAGTAGGATGTAGCCCGACCTAGAAGGAGTCAGCTGTAATCTGGGGCTGACTCGACTTACCTGGAATATTGCCTTGGTCTTTCTAGAAGTGGACGGGATGGGCTCTGACCTAGTTAGAGTCAGCTGTCAAGCTAGTGGGAAGTTAACTTACCTGATATGTTGCCGGAGAATTGTTTTCTGTCAAGCAGGTAGTGCGTTCTCAGGTTAAGGGGCGGGATTGACTTATCTAGAATGAGCTACCTCACAGAGATTGTTCTACAGAAACTTTGTCAGCCTGCCAGAGATAGGATTCTTCACTCACCTGAAAGGTGACAGGCTTGTTCATGTGGGTTGTGCTTCGGCCTAAAAGAAAGATTTAGCTTCGGACTTGGGAGGGAACTCACTTACCTGTTATTTTCGCCTTGGGGAGTTAATCCTGTGGAAAGGCTGTTAGCATCTAGTCAAGGGAGTGGTTGACTTACCTGTGAAGAATGCTTTCGTACAGAGCGGCCTACGGATGCGTAGTCAGCATGGAATTAGGGAGGAGTGACTTACCTGTGAAGTTCTATATTGGGGAAGCATGACCCATCGAAGCTTTGTGAGCTTTATCCGGAGAAATTCCGTGGGTGTGGTTGTTTACCTAGTGAATGGATAGCCAGGTTTGAACTGGAGGGGGGCTGACTTACCTGCAAGTGGTCGTGCGGATAGATATTTCTGGGGGTCCCTCCTGAAGAAATAGTCAGCTTTACATTTGCATCAGGGCTGACTTACTTGTGAGAAGATATTGATGGGTTCCGAATATGTTTCTATATGCGTGGTTAGTTTGACACACGGAAAATAGGGATTTGGTAATTGGGAGTGTAAAGGGAATCGGAGGTCTTCAAATAGATCCCTCTACCAGTGAGGGATGTGCCTCGGAGGTAGTGGCATGGGATATTGTCCGTGAACGGTGATTGGCCTTGTCAAAGGCAACCTGAAGTCAAATATGGTTTAAAAAATGAAGTCTTTCTCCTGATACTCAGCAGCGACACTCGTTGTTATGGAGCTGGTGACGTCTTTGTGATATTGATGTAATTCCCGAGATGTGCCGCCTGATGAATTCGAGGAAAACTTCCAGAAACATGGCGGGAGCCGCCACCATTTATACACACAACTCGCCTGAACAATGTGGAGGGCTGCCTTACGGCCCATTCCGTGAACAATAGATTGTTTCTCGAACGGGACTCTGATGAAAACAAAGAGTGTCTGTCCAGCCTTCCCCCGGGGAAACATCCCGGTCTTTATGGGTCAAGTTCGGATAATGCCTTGTAGAAACCATTGGCTGATGTCCTCTGTCTTCGGCTACACGGGATCAGCTTTCGTTCCCCGGTCATTGTGGGCAATTGGTAGTAACGCGGGTGTGGCTTTCCGTTGTTCCTCGGAAGCTGGGTCTTGCTGCCCCGGCTTTGTCGGTACCGAAGTCCGGGTATACCTCGACCTAAGAAAGAGCCGTAGCCTCGAACAGTGGCCCAAATGGGGCCTTACGGTAGCTCACGGCTGGTGTTCTCAACTGTCATAAAAGACAAAGCTATTCTCAGTTGCGTATAAGAAGAAGGCGAGATTGATTCAAGAATACAATGATATGTATAGGAATTGCTGCCGCTTGGTAAGGCAGAACAGTATATTGACTACATAGTACCACTTGAGACTATTCTTTGCAGTGGGAGGTAGGAGCAGCAAAAATCACAAACCATGACGTAAAGAACGAAAATGCAAAAAAAGAGACAAATGATATCGAGATCACTGTGCATCAAAATGCAAAAGCTATGACAAGAGTGGGATTCGAACCCACGCCCTTTCGGACTGCGATACTCAGGAATCCTGAACACAGCGCCTTAGACCGCTCGGCCATCTTGCCTTGTGGTTGTTGTTGAAGATGACTTCACATTGAATACCTATAAAGTCAGTGCTTATACGCAAATTTTCGGTCTAGATATCAGAAAGACAAGGTAAAGCATGCGTTAAATTGTCCGAATTGCATGCTCGCGAGAAAGAAGGATCCGGGAGATGGTGTTTTCGGCAGAAAACTACTTTGCGAGCGACTCGGAAGCCCACGTTGGGATGGACCGTTATAGTAGATGAAACCAGCGTGAAAACAATCCAAAACTCCCATTTGTTCCGTTAGATACATTCTCGTGCACCTTTACCATGTAAGTCTTCCTCCCAGATAACCATAAGTTGATGATATATGAAAGAGCACACGTGTGTGCTGTCTCTACAACGATCGAAAGATGTATTTCCGCCATCCAGATCGGGAAAATGACGATCAACGTCCTCGCATCCTTCTTCCTCAGTCAACCGAGCCCTTGAGCTCTCTGCAAAACCAGGTTACAACATCAGCATAATCTGTTGCTTCTCCTGACGTTCTCACCTCTCTGGAGAGTCACAGTCACGCAACCTCCCTTTCCCGCATTCCATACTCATCACTTCAAGCAATGACAATAATCTGCTGTCCCAGCCCATCGCCCCAGATGCCAACAACGGACATCAAGAACGCAACGCCAGCCACAACGCTCTGGACAATGTTCTTCTTCAAGAACACCTCCACGTTGGCACGGACCTCCTCGCCATTAACATTAGCCAGCTCCTCCTCGACATCCTCCGAGCCCGAAGTCGCCTCGCTGTGGGAGGGATCACCAAGAACCTCGTAGCTAGCCTCCAAGCCGCGCGGCGTGCTGCTCTTCTTCTTCTGCTGGCTGCTGCGGGCGGTCACGAACGAGACGGAGGACATGCCGGACGAAAACGAGGCGGGGACGGCGGGGGTGATGAAGCTAAAGTAAGGGCCAAAGAAGCCCGAGGTGATGAAGCGGGAGCCGAACACGAGTAGCGAGGTGTAGATCAGGTACGGGTGGCGGTAGGCACGCGGGGAAAGGTAGTAGGCGATGGCGAAGGCGGAGCCCGAGATGGTGCTCAGCGTGCGCAGGTGCTTCTTGGCCGAGGTGGATAGCGATTCGAGCGCGCGCGCGGCATCGTTTGCGGAGGGAAGGGTCAGGAGGGCGGGAATCGTGAGGGTCGAGAGGGTGAAAGACACGCCCTATGCAAGAAGTTGATGGTTAGCGATGGGAAATCCTAATCAGCGTGCGATAAAGTGAATCCATGTTCCAAGCTCGATTCTTCAATCCTATTCCTCAATAACACGATAGAGAAAAAACGAGTGCCGAAGTACACAATAACAATGGTCCCAGCAGTGGAAAAGAAGAGGCGCGGGAGAGATGGACGTACTGTTAGGAGCCCGAGGGACACAGTCCCTACAAACTTGAGGACGGAAACGCCTCTCGTAGTCATAATGGCGACAGCGAATGCCAATAATGCGCGGGGCTGCTTTGGGCGGAAAGTCGATTCGATGTGAGATGGAAATTGTTGGTTCACGGGTGTCGAGTCAAGAGATGTCAAAGGCAAAATCCGAGTCCAGCTTCCTCAGCATAGGAACTGAAGTGGGGGATCACATTAGGTGCTATGTACACTATCGTCCGCACAGAGGTCCCGCAGCATGCGATTGCGGGCAGTCAGTCCCACCGTCATGGCCGCACGGCAACACCCATTCACCACTGTCAGCCAGTCCCGTTCTCCGGGCCACACGCGGGCTGCCACCTGACGACGGGTCACCTCGATCAAGATCAATGCTGTTCAGTTTACCACATCTTTGTTCACCTTCGGAACTCTTTTCCCGTGTGGCTTGACACTCGAGTCCTTTCAACTTGACTTTTTGGAAACTTCCGGCCGTTAAGGTGGCAGAAGCCGAAAAGCAGCATGGACCACAACGAAGCAGCAGTTCCCCATCGTGTTGCGTCATTGTGAAGCTTCAGCTCCCCCAGAATTCGATCGACATGGCATGCTAGGCCCTAACCCTGACCGCATGTTGAAACATCCAGCCATCAGACGGAACAAAACAGAAGAACTCGACAACATTTACCCTTGAATGACTCGAGATACCTAGGTAATCAATCTCTTCTCCTGTGGAGTCTCGAGGAAAGAAAAAGGAACCAATTAGGTCTTTACGCTAAACCGGCTGTCTTGGACAAGCCATCAAGTGTTGAAGATCATGCGCTGTCATGTGAACTGATGTTGCGAACCTCGCACCTCGTCGGCGGCACTTTTCCCGATGGTTTACCCAATACACACGACCCCCGTTTATAAGTACTTCTTCCGACCACAATTATCACATACGACCATAGATGGTAGAAAACTCGGGATCCCGTCCGCTCTCCCATAGATAAGCTACCAATCGCCTGACTAGTAGTTGGGTCGGTGACGACCAGCGAATCCCAGGTGTTGTATGTTATTTTTTCTTCTCGTAGACATCTTTTTGCTTTCGCTGTTGTAGCGCGTCGATTTGTTGCACTAATTCACATCGGCATATGTTTGAAGCGGGGGAAACAGCAAGGGTTGTTGACGGCGGGCTCGAGAAAAGACCCTTGTCCGCTGAGACGCCGAGCTTGTTCTCCTGACCTTGACCTACCAGTACGCAAATCCAGTTACGAATCCAATCTATAATGTGTCGAAAATGAGTGTAGGTTTTCGGATTGATGCGTGTTGCTGGAGCCAAATTCAACGAGAGTCTGTGAGCGCAGGACTGAGCTAAGTTCAATTTGTTCTGTTCAGTTTCAGTTGTTAGTTCTGATCAGACATACCAACTAAGCCTCACAGCTTCACACCATAGCCCATTTTGTCCCCGTGACGAATGTGGCTTAGCGATGAGTTCAGGTTGCTACGTCATCACCTTGGCTTCCAGCACACTGAGGGGAAGTTCATTTGTCGGGTCTCTATATAAGGAACCACAACAAAAACAACATCAACATCTCTCGTTATACCCAAGACACCTGCACGCTAAGAAAGTTTGGAAAAATACAAGACAATACTTCAAAACAAAACAAGAACTTGATCAACTTTGACACTACGCATATCCGACAAAATGCCTCTCGTTGTCCCCGGCGTTACCACCAACGACCCCGCGGTCCAGAAGACGGAGGAGTGGATGAACAAGTTGTGCGGCAAGACACTCGCTGACCACACTTCGGAGACTGTAAGAACATCCCCTGGTTGAGAATGGCAAGACAGAGATGGCGTCCAAGCATGGAAGCTGACCCTCTTCCTTTTCTCTTCTGCCTACAGACCTTCTGCAAGTCCGATCTCCCAAAGCCAACCCGCATCATCGAGCCGGGTTCGATGGTCACGAAAGACTTTAACCCTGACCGTCTCAACGTACATGTCGGCGAGGATGGGAAGGTCAGCCACGTTGTCCATGGTTAAGGGGGAACAAAGAGCGGTGATGGAATGGCTATACCAGGCTTGAGGATATGATGGCATGACCTGGAGTTGTGAAGCGAGCGAGTTAATGAGTTATGGAGATACCAGCATGGCGCTGTGTTTAACGAATGCGATGAATTCATATATAGTCTCACCCTGCCATAACTTACTGTGAGTACCTTGACGGCTGACGATAGAGGCCGTTGCCCCGGAGACCCTTTGTATCCATGTCCTTATCGCCGTCGACCGTCCCCTCTATCGGCTGCGCTATGACGACACACCCTGGTCGCCGGCTGCTTTGGCGCGGCTGTTAACTGCTGCACAGATCCCAGCAGGGCGGTCTTGGCAGATCGAGGTCGAGGCCCCACCTTCGACTTCTTCCCCTCCCCCGCCATGAATCGCCTTGGCCGTCGCGACCGTCGCCTATCGCCAGCCAGCTCCATTGATTCCAGCGAGGAGCACTTTGTTTCCATTGTTCACCTCACTTAGCGACACACATATCCCAGCTTGACGGTCCCTACATCGAGACTCGCCAAAACGACGACCACGAATTCCACACCTACAGATATCTGATATACTCTAAAAACATATAATTTTACAAGGTCGCCAAGTCGCAAATACCGCCACAATGTTCAAGAAGGAGTATGCCATCCACCGCTCTAAACATAGCTTCACCTGCCCTCCTTTGCCATATCCCCTTACCAACGTCACTCTACTACCCGTCCGCCATTACACCACTTCTCCGACATCCGCTAACTCTTCTCTCTCCAAACAGTATCACCCCCTCGCCCAAACAAAAGCTCAAATCCTCGATCCAGCGCAACTTGCGCCAGTCGCTGCTGACCACCTACCCGCTCCTGACCCCTCACATCGACGACATCATCCCTAAGAAGGCCTCGCTCGAGCAGATCAAGCTTCCCGACCGCGTGTCGCTCTACGTCATTGATGGAACCACCCCGCTCTTCTTCCAGGCCGACACGCCCTCGCAACAAAACACCATTGTGCCCCACCTCAAGCTCGTCCACCGCTTCCCGCAATGCTTCCCCACCATTAGGATAGACCGCGGCGCCATCCGCTTCGTTTTGAGTGGCGCCACCCTGATGGCCCCCGGCCTGACGAGCAAGGGCGGGCGCCTGCCGCAGCCGCATGAGAGGCCGCCGAGGGAGAAGAGCGCTGCCGAGGTCGAGAACGACGAGATCGAGGTGCCCAATGAGGGCGCTGATGAGGAAGGACACTGGAGTCGCGAGCTGGAGAAGGGCGAACCTGTTGTCGTCCTGGCTGAGGGCAAGGAGGAGGCTTGCGCAGTTGGAGTGCTGGTTGCGGGGACTAAGGAGATCAAGGAGAAGGGCAAGGGCCCGGTGATCGAGGAGGCGCATTTCCTTGGTGATGGTCTTTGGAGGATGGCGCTGGATTAAATATTACATGGAGAGTGTTTGCGAAGGAGAACAGAAAAAGTGTCGAATGTGGGGAGGAAGGGGGATTCCCACCACCTACAAAGCGTTTTTGGAGCCGGTTTCAAGAAGCAGCATGGCTTTCTTGAGTTAATACAGTGGACATCTGATCAGGTCAAGGGTTTATCTTTTCTCCCTGGTTCATGTGTTTTCTGCTCCGTTCCCCTTCTGATCTGTTTTGCTGTTAGTGCGTAAGTGGATTTCAGGGCCATGGTGGTTGTGTTTGCTACAACTTCGGGGAGCTGATCAAGCGTCAATAATCGATACCATTACCGAGGTCAGGAAAGAGCAAGCGCTTTGTCTTGACTTGACTAATGCACCTCGGCTGTATACCAGTTTTTCTTTGTCTTGTGTTTCTTAGCAGTCCCCCGATGTTCCCACCTTATCCTCCCGAGTTTTGTAATCCTTGACTTGTCTCACTCTTATTGAAGTTATCTTGATAGCATTGCATGAAGGATGTCAGTTTTAGTCTCACGATTGCAAGCGCACTACATGCTTACCTTTTAGTCTTTATCTCTCCGGAACGACAACCCCCAGCGATGACAGCACTTTAAACTCCAACAACAACGGCCTTGGTCCTGGAAAAATGTCCGGTCAGCTAATCGACAGACACTATACCCGCCATCAACCCACGAGCGAGATCCAGCCTTTCAACCTCTTGCTTATCAAGATTCCGAAGCCATAGTGCCCAAGTCAGGAACTCGTCCGAACCTGGTAATGGACTCATGACTGTTCCAGCGCGGGAGAGGCTATGCGTCACCACCTATTTACCTTCTCTTCCGACTCGGCATCATCGGCAAGTGACTTCATCGGAGCTAAATTGACTGAATATGTGGTCAACCAGATATGCGAACGGAAAGGAGGAATCGAGTCACTTGCCCTTACTACCTGGTAAATGGAAGGCGACAAGTATACCTGACATATAGGAGTACTTGGATTAGCGATCTATCAAAGCATGGCTTCCAAAAGGGAACCGCAATACCAGGAACGGTGCGCACACCAAACAATACAAGGTTGTCAGTTGCTCCCGCATTGTAAGTATTATAATTTTCTTCTTCTTTTCTTTTCTTTTCCAAACAGCGGGTGAGATATGGTACTGGGCCTTTCGATTGAATTATATCCTGGAACCTACGTCGAAGAGCTTCGACTAGGTGTGGGCCAGATGGACGGATAGGTGTACATGCATATTCACAAGGGGGAGGGGGGTGGGGATTCTCTTTTGAACAATTACAGTCATATTCACGTTTGAGAAACTACAGTCATATTCACGTTTCACAATAGGTTCAGTTTTGGGGACTTTGCGTTTTGTTTTTAGTCGGATCTCATGTATTGATCCTAACATATGGGGCGTTGTGGTGGTGACTTCATTGCAAAAAAGTGCCGGAGTGTTGCGTGAACGATAATTGAAAGCCATCACCACCTCTCTTCCAATTTCCTCCCTTCCACGCTGTGTCTTGACTTGCTTGCTTGGTTGAACTCAAGAGTCCATCTCTGCCAGAAGCCTTCTCTGCCCCTTCTCCTTTCTGCGTCATCCCATTTGCCTCTTCCTGCTCGCAACATTTCATCTTTCCTCCTTCTTCTTCGCATCTTTACTTTCATGCTTCGCTTGGCGAGCCTTCTCTTTCTCGGCCCGCTTCGCCTCGTACGCCTCACGTTTCTTCCGTTCGGCTTCTTCCTTTCGGAGTCTCTCCTGCTCCTCCCTCTCCTTCTGACGTTCAATCCGTTCTGCCTTCTCTGCGCGCTTCTCACTTCCGTCACACTTCACGCAGACCGAAAAATCTCCATGATGGCCGCTTTTGCCGTGGATCTCGCATGGGCGCCAGTGCTGCTTCTTGAGGCAGCGTACATTGCCCACGAGCGTACACACCGGGCTGTGCATTTTCAGCGGCGTTTGGTTAGCAGTCTGGATTCAACAGTCAAAAAGTACGAAGCGTTGTGGACTTCGCAGCAGGCGGGGCAACTGCGCGAACTCGCTCGGGGTCGGACTTACCAGTGATGCTGCCTTTGTTTCTTAGAAGGCATGGTTGCGTTTACTGACCACTTCTTTCCTGTCGTGCGCGTGGTCTAGTCACCGGTAGATAGTCGATTGGCACTTTTGCCGAGGTCTGATGATCGGTCGCGTCGAGAATTTGACGGTTTGAGGTGATCGGGTTGTGAACACGACGACTTGCTAACAAACGACGTTGGCTCAGAATGTAATGTTGACCCTCCGATGTTGATCGCAAAGGGGGTGGATGATGCTTGCTAGTTGCTGGTCGGTGGTCGGTGGTCAGGAGTCGATGGGTGTTCCTGATTTGTCTGAGTGGGAGGGGGGGTTGTCGATGGTTAATGCCTTTTCGTCTGGCAGTAAACTTTTTGCTCGGATCCCAAGTTTGGATGATGGATGAAACAAGAGATGGTTTTTCGGGTGCGATGGGAATTGCCTTTTAAGGTTGGAAAACCAGCAGTCCCTGGGGTAGAAAGGTTGTTCAGCAAGGTTTGTAGGTTTGAAGTGACAGATGAGTGACAGGACAGATGAGTTCCGTTTAGGAATGATGTTCATCCGTTTAAGCATGTTATTCAAGATCTGAGGACAGATGCGTTCCGTTTAGGAATATTGTTCAAAATTTGAGGACAGAAGAGTTCCGTTTAGTAATGTTGTTCAAGGTTTGAGGACAGATGAGTTCCGTTTAGTAATGTTGTTCAGAATTTGAGGACTGTAAGACAGGGGAACATCAGATTTCTATAGTGAACAGAACGCAAAATAAAAAATAGAAAAAACAGGAAAAGGTAAGTGTTCAGTTATATAGTCGTGGAAGGAAATGTGCCGGGTAACTGGGTCAGGTATATTGCACCAGTCACTTCTGCATGTATATATGCAGTTCTCTAGATATTCTAGGTCTGATGCAGCGTTTTTGGCAGTCATTGTACTGGATAACTCGTGCCTACCGCTGTTCAAATCTAATTCATGTTCCTCCCGCTTGCCGGCTTTCCTGCTTGTCTTTCCTTTTTTTTTTTTTTTTTTTTTTTTTTTTCCAAGTTTATCTTCATTCAAAAATACCTTGAGGTTCAGGAGTTCCTACCTTTATATACCTAATAGCTTCATGTCTGCCCCTGCATATGGCCACGCATTTCTAGCGACCTACCATGTAGACTCGCGAAACTGGCCAAACACTATCCCTCCTTGGGCGCCGGACAAAGGACAGATTTGTGCAGGGAGCTAACAGAAAAAGGCCAGCCGCTGTATACTCAAATGTGCCCAAGTTAACAAAATACGAAATATCCTCGTGTTTCCATTGACTGGATATGGATAGTCACGTTGGCTGGCATATGCGTGATCACAGAGCATAATTCTGGCAGATTTCTGCCACATGTCCGGCGCTCAGAGGGGATAGTCGAGTTTATACGGTACTAGTCCACAAAGCATTTATTTCTTTGTCCGGTGGTCTTCGTCCGATGCATAACTTTGATGCATGTTATGACCGGAGCAACTTTCGTTGCTAGCCACAAGGCTCATGTGGTACACTCGAGTCCTGTTATTTTCGACATCATTCCCACCCATGTTTGTTTTCAATTTCCAGTCGTCAGGAGATCGCCCATTGACCGGCAGTTGTTCTTTTCTTGACGCGACAAGTCATACACAAGGCAGTAACGAAGAAGATTCTCCCTGCCTTCCCAGCCAGTCAATGCAATCCTCGGTTTTTGTTACCCTTGCCTTAATCAGAACGGAATGAAGACTCAGCTAACTTAAGTGAACGCTGATTCTGAAGAATCCATAGATCTCGTCGCAGCCGATAACGTTCGAAGTTAGTGGGGCCTAATGGTAGTTCCAGTGTCGACTGCAGCGTCGGAATTGCCGCATGTAGGGCTGGCAGCCTCGACCACAGACATGGTCGGTGTTGCATGATGATAGTAGGGTAACAGAGATATAGGCAGCAACATAAACGGGGACAAGAAGAGAGAGGAGGAAAGAGGGGGGGAGACCGCCTTCTTATACTTGGAAGGAGAGACCTACCCAGAGCTCTCGAAACCACGAAGAAACGATACGGAAGGGAAATCCCAAAATGGAAACAACTTCGAGTTAGCGGCGACCTTCGTTAGTGGTGCGAGGAAATGGGTTCTTCTTCGTAAGAGACAGTATGCCGGTGAGGACAGGTGTGAAGGACGGACCGGATAAATAGGTCCGCGCCAGTATTTGATGTGCGGCGACAACGAAGCTGGAGGTTTTCTATCCGGGAAATACGGGTTTTCCTCCCGGCCTTGACTGAAGAAAGACCACGTGTTCAAAAAAAAAAAAGGGGGGGGGGGGGGGGGG